GCCTGAGCTTTTAATTGGATGCCTTCCTTTGTTTCCTTAGTTACCCAAGGCTGGCTCTTCCTACCCCTGCTATCCTTGTTTTTGATCAGAATATACATCTTTTGAGCCCTGTGAAATATCTCTTTAAAAGTCTTCCACTGTTCTTCAACTGTTCCACCATACAACTTGTGTTCCCAGTCTAGTTTAGCCAACTCCTTCCTTATCCCATTGTAGTCTCCCATGTTTAAGCATAGAACCTGGTTTTAGATGAGAGTATTTCACTCTCCATTTGTATCCAAAATTTGATCATACTGTGATCACTCTTTCCGAGAGGATCCCTCTTACTAATTTTGCCTGTCTCATTACATGGGACCGGATCGAAGATTGCATGGTCCCTTGTAAGCTCGGTAACATGCTGTTTAAGAAAGTTATCACGGATGAGTTCTATGAACTCCTCTTCAAGACTACCTCACCCGATTTGATTTGCCCAATCAATGCGCAAGTTAAAGTCCCCCATAACTACTGCCGTTCTGTCCTTACATGCGTCAGATATTTCTTGATTTATTGCCTGTGCCTCTGTAGCATTATTACTGGGCAGCCTATAGACTACTCCCACCAGTGATTTCTTCCCCTTACTATTCATCGTCTCCACCCAAATGGATTCAACATTTTGCTCCTTAGATCCAATATCATCTCTCACTATTGCCCTGAACTCATCCTTAATTAAGAGCGCGACCCCACCTCCCTTACCTTCCTGCCTGTCCTTCCGAATTACCTGAAACCGTTGGTAATTTAGTTCCCAGTCATCACCACCCTGCAACCAAATCATACCCCTTTGTACTGATTGCGCAACAAGTTCATCGACTTTGTTTCAAATACTACGGGCATTCAGAAAAAGTGCCCTTATACTCATTGTCCCTTTAGAATCTAGTAATCTTCTTGTCTTTAGCATTTGATTCTGTCCTCCAATTTTATTTTTTTCTTCTCTAATTTTTGCTCTGGTCTCTGCATTACATTCCTCTGCCTTTCTGCGTGGGCACCCATCCTTTTGCCATTTTAGTCTGTCTTTCCTCAGTCTCCCTGCTCATTGCATCAACCTTTTCACAAACTGATCCATCTTCTGACCTAACACTCTGGTTCCCATCCCTCTGCCAACCTATTTTAAAGCCTCCCCAACAGCTGTAGTAAACCTGTCCACAGGGATATTGGTCCCTCTTGAGTTCAGGTGTAACCCGTCTCTCTTGTCCAGGTCATATCTTCCCCAGAAGCGATCCCAATTGTCCACAAATCCAAAACCCTGCCCCCCTGCACCAACTCTTCAGCCATGCATTCGTCTGCCATATCTTCCTATTTTTGCCCTCACTAGCGTGTGGCGCAGGTAGCAATCCAGAGATTACTACCCTTGAGGGTCCTGCTTTATAGCTTCCTTCTGAGCGCTCTGTATTCACTTATCAGGACCTCATCCCGTTTCCTAGCTATGTCATTGGTGCCAATGCGTACCACGACTTCTGGCTGCTCACCCTCCCCCCTTAAGAATGCCGTAGACTCGATCCGAGACATCCCTGACCCTGGCACCCGGGAGGCAACACCCCATCTGGGAGTCTCATTCTAGTTCACAGAATCTTCTGTCTGTTCCCCTAACCAATGAATCCCCTATCACAATCGCTCTCCTCTTCTCCCCCTTCCCTTCTGAGCCACAGAGCCAGACTCTGTGCCAAAGACCCGGCTGCTGTGGCTTTCCCCTGGTAGGTTGTCTCCCCCAGCAGTATCCAAAGTAATATATTTATTATTGAGGGGAACGGCCACAGGGGATCCCTGGACTGGAGGCTGTTTTCCCTGGAGCATCAGCGGCTGAGGGCTGACCTTACAGAGGTTTATAAAATCATGAGGGGCCTGGTTTAGGTGAATAGCAAAGGTCTTTTCCCGAGGTGGAGGGAGTTCAAAACTAGAGGGCATAGGTTTAAGGTGAGAGAGGTAAAATCTCAAAGGGATCTAAGGGACAATTTTTTCACACTGAAAGGGTGATGCATGTATGGAATGAGTTCCCAGAAGAAGTGATGGAGGCTGGTACAATTACAACATTTAAAAGCCATCTGGATGGGTATAGGAATAGGAAGGGTTTAGACGGATATGGGCCAAATGCCAGTAAATGGGATTAGATTAATTTAGGCTATCTGCTTAACATTGACGAGTTGGCCAAAGGGCCTGTTTCCCTACTGTAAATCTCTGACTCTAAGTAATAATTAAGTACACAAACCTGGTTGGCGCTTCGTGTCAACCTAGATCTGAATGTCAGCTACATTAGGGAAAGCTGCATATTCTTAAAAATCTTTCTTTAACTTTTGTGATGATTCTGTGAATAGCAGCGTTTGATTTCCAGCATGCATACCCAGTAAGGCATAATAAACCAAATAAGATAACTGGTCTGGAACGCTGTATGCATCAACTGAATGTTGCTGACTGTTTACAGTAAGGTGTGGAATCATACCAAGGGAACTTGAGACACATTTGATTACAATTCTTGCCCACCCAAGAACTAGTCTCTTCAACTGAACCCAACCCATACAGGTCCATGGATTTGACATTTATGAAATACCATGTACTATTGTGTTTATGTACATTTGGACTGACTTGACCAGTGATGCTGAAGTGATCACATCAGCACACAGATTATAGTTTTTCATCAAAATAGGACGAGACACGCAGCTCTTTTACAAGCTGCCGAGGAAACGTGGCCAACCATCATCCAACCCACCTAGCCATCTGCATCTGTGATTTCAACAGCCACCATTAGATGCGGGATTACCAGCAACTAAAAGATTTCTCATTGGCTTCTGATATCCATTTCATCCACAATGCCAAAGAACCAGATAACTTTGTACAGGCAATGGAGGAAGGAATATTCATCAGACCTGATTCCTACCCAATAACTGTAAAGGACAGCCACTAATTACTTCCTGCAAGATCTCTGGAGGACTTCACCACTTGCAAGAAAAAGTGAACATTGTATTTGTAGAATCGAGGTGCCGATAACTACTACAGATTTAATGAGCTACCTTCATGAGAACTGTCAAGAGTATGATTTAGCAAATACAGTTACATCCAAACCATTGTGACTGCTAGGTTCCTGAAAACACAAACTGCCAGAAGTGTTCATGTGTGTACAATACAGAATCTATACTATGCTGGCCCCAAAAGTGAGTTATTGCTTGCAGAGCTGAATGCCACTTGAGACCCAAATGTTGCAAAACAAATAGATTTTTCTAGACAAAGGCAAGTTAGCAAGATACTGTGAAGCCACTGAAAAACTGGATGTCTGATGTTTCAAAGAAACTTGCTTCCTTAGCTTGGTGCATTCTGATTACCTCAACAGGAGGTACCAAAGACCAAGTGCCACTCGAACCTATGTCCTGATTATTTCAAAGGCAACATTCAGCACCAGAAAAAAAAAGTGAAAAATTGTTTTTAAACAATCAGCCAAGTGTCACCATTCCAACTGCTTTCACCATCCGAGGTGAACACAGTGATCATCACCAAATTTGGGAGGCTGACAGTGTTAGTGGCATCTGTCAAGAATCCCTAAAGGACATGGTCTGAAGTGGATATGGCTTGCCAAATCTGCTAACAAACCCTCTTAACAGTGGAAAAATGCTGGCACTCAGGCATTGTTCCAAAGTCAGTACCACCTTAAAACCTGGAAAACTAGCCTATGATCTGTCTTTTCTGAAAATGTGGGAATCAAAATTATTTAGATTTTCACAGTTTCTTTCAAGACTGACTAATGTATATCTTCTGAAAACAAATGCTGCAGATCACAGCAGGTCAGACAACATCCATGGAGAAAGAGCAAGCTAACGTTTTGAGTCTGGATGACTTTTCATCAGAGCTGAAGAAGAGTTATCTCGACTCAACGTTAGTTTGCTCTCTTTCCATGGATGCTGTCTGACCCACTGTGATCTCCCACATTTGTTGTTTTCAGTACAGATTCCAGCATCTGCAGTAATTTGCTCCTATAACGTATACCAATTAGTTCACTGCCTTTACTTCTAATGCTTTAAAAGTTCACATTACATTTGTTTCTATTTTTAAGTATATAAGTGCATTTAACTTGTAGTTATGGATGTACAATATATTGCTTCTACTTATCAGAAATACACAATGTAGAGCATGTACCTTCAAAAAGACTGATATAGATGATCTCCCTAAATCTTCCAGAAAAGCACAATTATGTGCTACAATTCACTTTGACTGTTGCTAGTGTGCACTGTGGGAAGTCCATCGGTATAGTGACTTTGCTTTTTGTTTTTCACTAAATGTGGCAGGAAGTAATTGAATTCTCAGTCGCTTACGATGCATAATAGAGGTACTGTGGTTGGAATAAAGGCCAGCCTCAGTGGATGAAATCCTCGCCAAAACTGATGCGGAAATTTTGCTGGCTGTCAATGATCATAATGAACATCTTTCTAAAATTGGTCCAAAAGGCTCTTGAGCAATAAAATATTGCCAGCTTAGGAAGCTGATTTCAGAAATTTATTTTGGCATGCACTACGTTTGCTAACAAGTTCTCTGCGATACCTTGCTCAGGGAAAGAAAGGACTTTTTAATCAACTACATTGGAAACATTGAAAAGTGTAAAACATAATATTCAACATTTTGTGAATAAGTAAATTTGATGTATTACACTAATATATCTGTTCAACCTAGTTTTAGTTTAATGTAATAACTTAAAGTTTGAAAAGATTTGTAGCTCGGGTTGTGGATGAAGTTGTCAACATGCTCGCTGAGCCAGCGTGTTTGGTTGCAGATGTTTTGTCACCCTGTTAGGTAACATCGTCAGTGTGCCTCCGGTGAAGCTTCACCAGAGGCGCACTGACGATGTTACCTAGCAGGGTGGTGAAACATCTGCAACCAAAAACACTGGCTTGGCGAGCAAGTCAAATGTAACAACTGGTTACTGAAAGTGAGCATTGCAATGTTTTTATTGTTCATACTTGGACTTTGATTTCTATTACTTTTACCAGCTGAGGAAAGCTGTCATGGACCATGTATCAGATTCTTTCTTGGAGACCAATGTTCCCCTTCTGGTTTTGATTGAGGCAGCCAAGAATGGCAATGAAAAAGAAGTGAAAGAGTACGCCCAAGTATTTCGTGACCATGCCAGCAAATTGGTTGAAGTAAGTACAGATTTTCGTAATTTCTGAATCAACCATGTCAATCTCTGTTAACAGCAAATGTTTTTATTACTTTCTCTGGGCATGAATGCATACATATAAGTTAGAAGTAAATCTATTTAGCAACTTGATATTCCACAAAATCGATCTATTATAAGCTTTTGAATGTATTTCTATTTTTGTAGGTTGCCAATCTTGCTTGCTCTATTTCCAACAATGAAGAAGGTGTGAAACTAGTTCGCATGGCAGCCACCCAGCTAGAAGGCCTTTGCCCACAGGTTTGACATAACAATTACATGTTACATCTAAAATTTCATCAGAAACGATTTTCTTAGTTTTGATGTGTTTTGTCCATTAAAGGCAAAGTCAAGTTTTTTTGTTGTTTGATACTTCTGTCAAGGATGTATTTATACTCTTGAGTGGCTGCAAGTGTCATGTTTCATCTTTTTCTAAATTTTGAGCCATAAGCAGCTCGTATTAGTCCACAACAAAGCATTAGTAACATTTAGTTATCAGTGCTTTCTTTTTAGGTCATAAATGCTGCTTTGGCCCTGGCTGCTAAACCGCAGAGTAAAGTGGCTCAGGATAACATGGATCTCTTTAAAGAATTATGGGAGAAACAAGTGCGTGTGCTGACAGATGCTGTGGATGACATTACTTCTATTGATGACTTCCTGTGTGTTTCAGGTACATTTTGTTTAATAAACCATTCCAGTGTTGTTACAGAACATCAAATGCCACCTGATTGTAAACAAAATGAGAATGAACAATTATTCACTGTCCAAGTGAAGTATAAAAAAAAACTTAGTGGATGCACAGAGTCTAATGTGAAACCATGAATTAATGCTTAAAGTTTTATTCAGTAAAGTAATAGGTACTTGTCACTATTCTGGTTGCTGTACATTAATTCCAAATATGGCGAAATAATTACTGTTAACTACTTCGTGTGTCTGCGTTTAATATCTTTCCTACAGTGTGACCTAACAGGTAACAAATGTCGAACCTTTTATAGATGCTGTCATTGCTTAATTGAATGTCATTGCAAGCTAATTTTGTACCCCACACCGGTAGAATCACTAATCGCTATCATATATTTTGGTAATAGCACCATTATACTTTGAATGGAGTAACACAAGCATCATTGTAGTGTTATCATATTCTAAGTACTGAATGGTTTAAATGCCTTGCAACACCACACTGTGCTAATCCATCCTGCAGTCTCTTCTATCTGTACAAGCTGAAAAAAGCTCAAACCTGTTGTTCTGTTCTAAGGCCTGAGATCTAACCACTTCTGACTTCTTGATCCCCATACCTACCTCACCTTGCAATCATATCCTTATGTCTCTGACCATAGATCAGATCAGAAATACCTGGCCAAAAGTGTGTTACCAACCCATGGTTATTCGCATTCTGATTAACACTTCTGTTCTTCTTGCATCCCAAACTCTTCATGTTTGATTTGACTTATTATTGTCATATGTACCTAGGTACAGTGAAAAGTTTTTTTTTGCATGCAGTACAGACAGATCATACCATTCAAAGATCATAGGGTGATAGAAGAGCAAGGAATGCAAAGTAACAGCTGCAAAGAAGCTGCTCAAAAAGCAAGATCAGCATTGAAACTCTCAAATTTCAAATTTGTTCAGAAGGCTAATAACAGTGGAGGGGGGGGGGATGCTGTTCTTGAACCTCTTGCTACATGTGTTTCAGCTTCTATATCTTCTGCCCGATGGAAGAGATTATGACCAAAGTGGGAGGGGTGTTTGATGTTGGCTGCCTTTCCAAGGCAGTGAGAAGTGTAGATGGAGTCCATGGAAGGAGCGGATTACTGCAGATGCTGGAATCTGAACTGAAAACAAAACGTGCTGGAGCTCATAGTGGGTCAGGCAGTATCCACGGAGAGAAAGCAAGCTAATGTTTTGAGTCTAGATGGCTCTTCAGAACTGAAGTGAAGAATGGAGGGTAAATGTTTATGCAATAGTTGTTAGGTGGAGTTGGGATTGGGTTGGAGTGCTGATAGTTTAGAAAGAGTGATCGTAATGTGAGAATGGCAGAACAGTGGATGGAAGGTTGGCATGCATGATGGACTGGGCTGTGTTCACAGCTCTTTGTAGTTTCTTACAGTAACTGCTCTGCCCAGGACGGTATCAAGCCATGGTACACCTAGACAGTGGAGTCAACATGATGTGGAGGAATGATATCGAGACTCAATAAAGCTTCTTGCACTTACTTGTTTCTGGATTTCAAGTTTGGAGTCGGAGGTTATCATACTATTGTGAATCCTGTCTTTTTAAATAGTTTAAGAAATGCAATCATTATCACAGAGACCATATTTGCATTTTGTAATTCGCTAAGATTATCAAGACATGAAAATTAATTCAGAAATGAAAACAAATTGCCAGAGAGAAAAGCAGAGCTGACATTTTGAGTCTCATTTTATTTTTAGGATGTTACCAGATCTGCTGAATTTCTTCTATATTCATCTCAGATCTTCAGCATCTGCAGTATTTTCTTTTTTAAAATTACCTCCATTCCATGCTTTAGGAAGAAACTATCACGAACCCACACCCACATTCCCGCTCTCCCTCTTTCTCTCACACACATGCAGACCCCTCTTCCCCCAAACCCTGGCCACATGGTTAGAAATAACCAACGAAATAAATACTGAACTATCTTTTTGGATAAATTTTGGTTAACGGTGAGATGGCAGCAGTTCTCCACCCCCACCCCCTGTAAAAATCCCACATCTAACAATACTGCAATATTGAGCTAGTGTCAGCAGACGTCTTGTTTCATTTTGCTCCCTCACACAATCAAATTGATTATGAACTTTATCAAACATTGGGTTTAATTCGCAGAGAGCAAAATAAACCAGTTTTATATTAAACCCATCTTTGTTTTGTTTAACAGAAAATCACATCCTTGAAGATGTAAATAAATGTGTTATCGCACTCCAGGAAAAAGATGTAGATGGACTAGACCGTACAGCTGGTGCAATCAGAGGACGTGCTGCAAGAGTTGTCCATGTTGTCACATCAGAGATGGACAATTATGAACCTGGGGTGTACACCGAAAAAGTTCTGGAAGCAACCAAGTTGCTGTCTGATACGGGTAATAACTCTTCACACTGCAAGTCTCTTTTTTCATTCTACAGGCTACAGATGTAATCTCATTTGATAGGGTGTCCACATGCATTTGCACATTTTGGTCTGCTGTATCATTTAAAGTGATAGTACGTACCATATTGAATCAGTTTTCTTCTCTAGTCAAAAAGCTCTTGCTTATAGAATAGAATAATAGAACTCTGACCCTCCAAAGAGTGTCCCACCAGATACAGCCCCACACCCCTATTCCTGTACCCTGCATTTACTATGGCTAATCCACCTGACCTGCATATCCCTTTACGTTATAAAATTTAGGACAACTTTGCTGTCACTTAGCGGAACTATTAGATTAATGGGTGAGTCGTTAAGTGTAGTATAGAAAATCAGAAATGACCTTAAGTGTGCAGCTGCAGATACACAGTGCTTTACATAAAGTCTCAGTTTAAATCCTTCAAGGGTCCCATTTTGCATAACACAGTACTCTACTCGGACTTTCTGCTGATCACAACAGAAAACTTCCATCGGGTTTCTTACACATAACCAAGCTGGCAAATGTAAATACTGTAAATTAAATATGTGAAGAAATCTGAATTTATAATTTCTGTGCATTTGAGGTTCATGAGACTTGTTGAAGCTCTTGTGTGACATTTTGGTGAGAAATTTGCTGTTGACATCTGTTGCAGAAGACGTGAACCCTTAACTTTGCAGCCAAGTTCAAACACTACCACGTGCATTCGGTATTAATATAGAAAATGATAAATAGACTATGATCAGAAAAGGTCAAAAATATAAATCTGAGTGAATCAACAGATAAGGCTACTGTTTGATAAACAGGAGAGTAAAACATTATTGGGTTTTGGGTGGGAATGTGGAGTAGTAGTCAGATCAGCCATATCTTATTGAATGGCAGTGTGCGCTCTTAAGCCAACTGGCTTACTCCTGCTCCTAATTTCTATAAATGTATGCTAGCATATTCTCATTGTACTGCTTTTTAGATTGATATGCCTGCTTTTAGCAATCTTGTCTGTGAGCCACAGGAACTGTTTAGCATGGAAGATGTTCAGTGTAAGTAAAGGAACTGCTAGAAGAAAAAGTAACAAGGTTGCCTATAATAAAGTGTAAAGAATCTTGTGAAAAGTTGTCACTCTACAGTGCTCTGGCATTTTTCTGATAAGTATGAAGAAGGATCTACTCAGTAAATCTATTGTAGTAATCTTGAACTGTATTTCAAATGGCTGTTGGTCTAAATAGCAACTACTTTGTTTTATTTATGACTACTGTTAACATTCTTAGAGTTGTACGAATTTCAATTATTTTGAACTGCAAAAATCTAATTCAGAATAACTAATGAATTAATGGAGCTAGCTTAGTCTTCAGCAATGACACTAATATCTAAGAAATTTTGTGAACAAAGGATATGTCTCTGCTTTGTGGAAGTAAATGGTAACAAGCAATATCTTCTTTTTAAGTTCAGTAATTGGATGTAGAACATTGTCTTTAAAAATGCACATGTGATTCATTTGTGCGTTAATGTAATTCATTCACTTTTCTGGTCTAGTTATGCCTAGATTTACTGAACAAGTGGAAGCTGCTGTGGAAGCACTGAGTGCCAATCCTGCTCAACAGTTAGATGAAAATGAGTTCATTGATGCTTCACGATTGGTATATGATGGCATTCGGGACATTAGGAAAGCTGTATTGATGATTAGAGTAGGTATATTTATGTTTATGGGCAGTTTTTCTGATAAATATGCTATTTTTATTAGTTTCTGTGTGACTAACCTACTTAACTCCAGACCAAAGGTTAAGGATTTGAACCAAAGCCAATTCTTGGGCTCAGCTATTTCAGCAGCTGAGATCACTTGATTGCAGGCTAGAAAGTATACATATTCCATTCCTGGTCTTGTAAATCTCAACTAATCATCTGTAATCTCACAGCTTTTGGAAGGTTTGCAATCTACTGTTTTCAGTATAAGTTATTCTTATTTTCAGGCATATGTTGCCATGATGGGCCCATGTCATTCTCATGTCATTCTCATGTCATTCTGTAGTATGTAGTAGTGTTCTTGATTTTTTTGATATCTGGTTAATTGCTAAGAGTTAAGGCCGTTTACCATAATTATGTTTTCAGTCTTTTTATTTTGGGTATAAACTTCCAGTCATTTTGAAATAAAATATTTTTGCATTATTGAGTGCTTTTATACATGAAATCCTTTGTGCACTTGTGCATTAACTTGTGTCTGAACTCTAGTTGTTTCCGCCTGGAGGGGCTTGAAGTTTTTATGCTCACCAGCATTGTGGTTACTCAAGGCTTTTGAGTGTTTTGAAACCAGCTTGATAGTATTTAACTACAGCAAATAGAAATGTTAGGCATGTGAAATGTTGCTCTGGATGATTATCACTGCAGAGGTGAAGTGTTTAGCGCAAATTCAAATTAAAATAGCTGAAGTGTGTTACTCTGTTCATTGTAGCAATTAATTTATCCATGAAACTAATATATTTTCTGTTCTTTGCTACAAAATTACCCCTTTTCCCAGAGAAACCGTATAACATCACAATTAGCCAAGCATTCATTACACTTTTCAAATTTCACAGATGTAACTACGTACACGAATTGGTGTTTAAAATGCAAAGCATGGTATTAATTACAAGTTAAGGGAAGCATTTTGCAATAGAAAAGTGAAATTACTATTCACCTTGGGCACAATTGGTTCGAGCACACACAGCTCCTGTTTGGAAGTGTCCTTTTTTTCAAATTTCTGCATGTCACTAAAGCATGAAGCAATGCAACTGAAAAATATTTTAAAATGTAACTTTTAATTTGCAAAAATTGTTTTAAAAATATTTTCCCAGATTTAAATGTGTTAACTTGGTAAAATTTGATCTGAAAATTAGTCATCTCTCAAAAACATGTGTTTTTGTTCATGTGTGATCAGATTTTAATTCTTTAAAGGGACTAAACATTTTGCAAAATTGCCTGGTTTGATTAAAGATGATAGTGAATTCTTTAGTACTATTTTAAAAATTATTCAAGCTTTTCAAGTATATAAACTTTGAATGCTTGTATCCAGAAGTTCCAGTCTGTTTTTGGAGCCTCCTTGAAGGAAGCGTCCAGTGGTGAATTATTCATGCTGAAGAGGTGGCCAAATGTATGGATGAGGCTTGTCTTTAGCATAATGTTTTTAATGGTGTTGAAGACTGGGGAAACCTGCTTGTAGTGACAACAATTTGTGCTGAAAACTCTGCGGTCTTCTGTGCTGGCTACACTAATCTCTGAGGGATTACATCCAAGAGAGAGAACCATAGTGAACATAAATTCCAGGCCTGGACTTTGGTACGGAGCAAGTTGCAAGTGTGTAACTTCAAAAAGTATGACCTTGGACAGAGCATAGTGTTTTGCATTTGTGACATACTGTCAGTAGTTAAGCAGCTGTGATTTTTTTTTCCATCCTCAGTAAGATGTTATTTTGGCGGTCTGGAAATTCACCTTTTAAAATATTAATATTATTTACATGGTGCTTCTCTTTATATTCATTGTATGGAATGTTGATGAAAAATTGGGATGTTACATTCCAGTAAATTTCCTTATTTTTGCATGTTAGCTTTTCATTTGTACGTGAAAGGTAGTTTGAGTCTAACAACTGAAACGTAAAGCATGAGGCAAACCAGTGTATTTTGTACCTGTTAAGTACAAATTATAAGAAATGAGAGGATTTCTACAAATTGCATGATTTGTAAAATGTTTTACTATTTCTGTGAATAACCGCTGTTGACAGTCTTTAACACTGAAAATGTTCATGGCTGTGATGCCCACGTAAATTAATGTTACTGCAGATATTTTTAAACTCCTTAGGTGCAAATTTTATTGAAAACTCCATGTACTAAATTAAATATATAATAGATTTTAGCATTCAGTATAGTCCAGCATGATTTCCTATTCTCCCCCATATTCTGTATTAATACAATTATTTATTTTGCCCACTAGACTCCTGAAGAATTGGATGACTCTGATTTTGAAACTGAAGACTTTGATGTGCAGAGTAGAACTAGTATCCAGACCCAGGAAGATCAACTTATTAATGGACAAAGTGCAAGGGTAAGAAATGGTCTCTGTTTAGAATAAATATATATGTTAACTTTGTTCACATTTAATATGTAACACAGTAACAGAAATTATCTTGTATCTGTCCTTTCAGTTAACAAAAGATCAGCTGATGAAAGTGTACATTGTACACATGGACAGTAACTGGCAGCTGTACGATGTTACTAATCAGACTGAAATTTCCCAACTATAAATTGTGTGATGGCTGTTAAACAGCTGTATAGAGAACTGAAGCAAAAATATGCAACCCAAAGCATAATGTAGCATATTACTCTCTTTTTGTCTGGTTGGAATAGCAATTCCTTTAAAGTGGGGGGGTGAAAATGAAAGCTTTTTGTGTGCTATCAAAGTGTTAGGGGAAATAGGATGTATAATACTGTCCTCCTTTATCTACTGGGAATTTGGTTTAAATGCAGCCAGAGCAGATGGAATGTCAGTGACAGCTGCTAGGATACGAAGAATGGGTTTGGGCAGTTTTAGTACAGTTCCCAATGGAGAAGACCACGGTGCACAGCTGCTGTGATTTTTGGCACTAACTACTGTGATTGGAAAATTGCTATTTTGAAGGCTATGGGAAATGAAAACGTCATAAGTGTCTTGTTTCTGAGCCTGCAATTGAGAAGTTTTACCCAAATAAGGGAAGAATGGTGAAGCATAGATGGAACTTTGACGTAAACAGTTGGAAATAATTTGTTGTAATAAAAATCTGTTTTGAAAAGTGGTTCTGAAAAACAGTTTTGAAAATTTGATTTGTTTCTGCTGAAGCTCTCATTATAGAAGACAGTACTAGTCTAAATAAATAAATAAAACACTAACTGTTTCCGTGTTGCCGTAGACCTTTCACAGTAGTTGGCATGGAATTTACCTAATGTTGAAAATGGTAAGAGCCAGCAAAAAAAAGTTGCAAATGCAAGTATGCTACATATGTATGCAGTGCTTATGCATGCACATGATCACACTGCCTCATCTGCAGGCTTTAAATCTTCAAGATGTATAGTTTAATTTTAATTGATTAATGGTGAATGACAGTATGAGTAAATGAAGGGCAGCCTTACCATTCTGGCAGCTTGCATTATAAACCATGAGAAACTTGCATGTGTAAATTAAACTATTAACAGTGTTAAATGGGATGAGTGTGCAATGTAAAAGAGAAGTCAGTCTTGGCAGCTGACTAGGTTATGCAGATGAAATTTTTTTAAGAAGTTGCATTGCTCTGTCGCAAATATTAAGTCTAGGATATTAGTTTAATGATTTTAACTCTGATTATGCATTTTCTTTTTTATCAGATAGTTTTTGAGGAATCGCTTTGAGGTGGAGGATAACAAACTACAGATGTTGCAGTAATTGCATGATAAATTTAATTTATATGTCTTAAAAAAATTATTACCTAAAAAAATTCCCATAAAATGCCACTATAAAGTGACCTGTGCTAATGAAACTCAAAAGAACAATATTCAATGAAATAGAAATAGCTGAACCAACAGTTTTATGGAAAAAAAACTGACCCTCTTAATAGAAAAAATACTAGATAGCACATGAGTAGGTTGTAGACATGTGCATAAATTTGCTGTTATTATCCAGTATTAATTCAAATTTTATTGAATTGTCTGCTCAAAAACCAGTCATTATGTTGGTGAAATGGGTATTTTTATACAATATCTCTGAACAATTTTGGATTAATTATGAAATTTATTTGAAAGCTCGCCTACGCTGCCTTAACATTGTCTGAATTCCATCCTCCAGGAAAAACCATCCCTATTGCATGACTTATATCTTAGATCAAATTCCTTCCAAAAAGTCTCCTAAAATGAGTTACTATTTTGTTTTAAATGGTAATGTCTGTCCTCTTCCGATTGACTTAAACTAAATGTATTCCTTGTAAACTCTTACCAACCTTCAACAAGCAGGTTGCTTTTCATTGTTCTTGTGAAATCATTTTTAAAACCTTCACTTTTTTTTCTTTGAAAGTAGTGTGGCATTTTCTCAGAACTTATTTTGTGTACTTTTAGTTCATTTCTAGTAAGTTATTTTTTCCACATTAATTGAATTGTGCTTTTTTTTTTCAGGCCATTATGGCTCAGCTTCCACAAGAACAAAAAGCAAAGATTGCAGAGCAGGTAGCCAGTTTTGAGGAGGAGAAGATCAAACTGGATGCTGAAGTTTCTAAATGGGATGACAGTGGAAATGATATAATTGTCCTAGCCAAGCAGATGTGCATGATTATGATGGAGATGACAGATTTCACCAGGTGTGTAGTCTAATTTGTATGGTCAACTCTTCTACTCAGTGATGTATTTGACAATGGTTGTGGTTTAACGGTTAAACCAATGCTCAAACACAAGCATTATAATGTACAAATTGCATTACATTCTTAAAAGATCGTGTCCTTCAAGTGGTTGTATTCATTTTTATACTTACTAATTTGTAACATTCTAACTGTTCATGCCACTTTTTCAAAACAGCATCCAAAGTGAACACTAGTGACACTCTTAATTTTTGGGAGAAGCTAAAAATGTTTAGGTAGTTGGTATCATTCTTAGTTCCTTTGCAGGGAAAGAAAACTAAATTGTTGAATTTCTGCATTTTCCAATGCCTGAAGGAGTTCAAATCCTTATCAAAGCCTGTTTTTGACTTAATAAAATTAATCTCTAGTTTCAAAGGAACTGAATTATAATTGACTTTGACCTCTTAAAATTTCATTGTGACATGCTGTCATTCCTCATTATGCATAGATTCGCTATCCACAGATCCACCTTCTAGTGAGGTTGGCCGTAGATCAATAATTAGTTTCAAATTGACAGGTCCTTACTGATCGTGCAGCACTTTGTGGTAGATAGGGTATTTCTATTCTAGCACTATCTGTTTGTTATTCGCAGAAGGGTCTATGCCCCTTCCCCACCACCACCACGCCCACCCCTGGAATAGGCTATTCAAGAATAGCCTATGTTACTTAGTTATCTTAATATCCTTAATATCCCCCTAAATATTTATATGCCTTTGCATCCTCTAGTATTGATGCAAAACACTCATCAGCGTATTAGTAGAAATTTATTGTTTGCTTGCTCATTGAGTCTGAGGCATAGTGAGTACTTCAGAAAGAAACTTTGATTTAGAGTGTGGCCCTGGTGATAAGTTCTATCAAAATCTCATAGCTTTATTAGGAATGTGTTCTTGACTAGAACCTGGGCTGAATAGATCACAATAAATTATTCCCATGTTTTGAAGGCTCAAGAACCAGAGGACACATTTAAAGTGTTTGACAAAAGGCCCAAAATTGACATAAGGTATATATTTCTGTGCAACAACTGGCTAGGATCTGGATTGCACTACACCAGAGTGTGGTGGAGGCAGATTCAGTTGTGGCTTTTCAAATTGGATAGCAACCTAATGCTAATAAAAGTAAAAATGTAAAAGCAAATGAAAAAACACTTGGCCTTTCTCATGTACCAAGCATACGACCTCTCGGCTGTTTGAGTTCTACATTCTGCACTGGTTACAATTCCTCATCCCTAAAGGGTAAATGTATTAAAATACATTCATGGAATGTGGGCATCTGGCTACGCCACCATTAATTGCCTGATGCTTATTGTCTTGTGTAGTTATGAGTCACTCACATTGCTTTGGTTTTAGAGTCATGTATAGGCCAAACCAGATAAGGATGGCAGATTTTCAGCCCTAAAGGGCGTGATCAAATCAGATTTGATTTTTATAACAACCGGCAGTGGTTACATGGTCACGATTAGGCTAGCTTTTTATTGCATATCTTTATTGAATTCAAATGTCAACATATGTCATGGTGGTTTCAAACCCACGTCCCCAGAACATTATCCTGGACTTCTGGATTACTAATCTAATGACATTGCCAGTACACCCTTGCCTCTCCTAAATTATTTGAAGAGAAAACGTGTGCAGGGTAGTGGGACTAATTGAGCTATACTCCATGGGAAGCTACGTGGCATATCGGCCAAAGGGCCGCTTATGTTGTATAGCATTTTGACTCTGAGATGCTACTTTTTTGCAGAGGAAAAGGTCCACTGAAGAATACATCTGATGTAATCAGTGCAGCCAAAAAAATTGCTGAAGCTGGATCAAGAATGGATAAACTTGGACGAACTATCGCTGATCATGTGAGTCAGTGCAAAATACTAGTGTTGAGCAATATTGGTAATGGGAATGTATGAATACATAATTTGTGTGTAATGTATGTCATTGCATGGAAATACTTTTCATTCTCTAATTTCTATGTATAAAATGCTCTGGTAAATGCACAAAACTTATCTTTCCAAAAAAAAATTGACTGCCAAGCTCAGTTTCTTTAAAAAATGAGAGTGGTGTGAAAATAGAATGAACTGATCAGCAGAGAGGGTTACAACAAGAGCTTCTTTAAATATATAAAAAGGAAGAGAGAAGCCAAATTGAACATAAGCTCCTTGGAGAATTAGGCTGGGGAAATAATGATAGGGAACTAGAAATTGAACAAGTAATCACTCTCCACAATAGAAGACAGTAAGGCATCTCAAAATTACTAAATATTCAAGGTACAAAGTGAAGAGGAAATAAGACCACAAGAAGTAGGAACAGGAGTGTAGGCCATTTGGCTCCTCAAGACTACTCCACAAGTCAGTAGGATCATGGCTGATCCAACATTCCTCACATGCTTTCTCTTGCCTTTTCCCCATAATACTTGATTCTCCTGCTGATCAAGAGTCTATCTATCTCAGTCCTAAATATTCAGAAGAACTCTGCCTCCACAGCTGTCTGTTGCACTGAGTTCCAAATATATTCAGCCCTCTTACAGAAGAAAGCCTTCCTCATCTCCATCTTAAGTTGACACTTCTTTATTCTGAGACTATGCTCTGTAGTCGTAGACCTTCCCATGAGGGGGATCATCCTCTTATCATTTAGCCTGCCAAAACTCCTTGAAGACTCCTATATGTTTCAATTGGATCACTTCTTATTCGCCTAGATTTCAATAAGATAAGTTTCTCACTATTTAACTTTTGCTTTTAAGACAATCCTTCCATACCAGCTGACCCTGGTGAACCTTCTCTAAAATAAGGGAATCAAAACTGCTCTGAGAACAGCACGGTGGCTTAGTGGTTAGCACTGCTGCCTCACAGCGCCAGGTGCCTGGATTAAACTCCACCCTCTGGCGACTGTCTGTGTGGAGTTTGCACATTCTCCCCATGTCTGTGTGGGTTTCCTCTGGGTGCTCCGGTTTCCTCCTACAGTCCAAAGATGTGCAGATTTGGGTGGATTGACCAATCTAAATTGCCCGTAGGGTCCAGGGATGTTTGGGTTAGACATGGGAAATGCAAGGGTAGGGGAATGGGTCTGGGTGGGATTCTCTTCAGAGGATTGGTGTGGACTTGTTGGGCCAAATGGCCTATTTCCATACTGTAGGGATTCTGTGAACTCCAGATGTGATCTCGCCAGCATCTTGTACAGTTGTAGTAAGACTTCCCTACTGTTATAAGCCAATCCCCTTGAAATAAGGACCAACGTTCTATTAGCCTTCCTGACTATCTGCTGTATCTATGTGTTAGCTTTGTGTTTCATGCATAAGTCTTTGTGTTGCAGCTTTCTACGGTTTTTCTCCATTTAAATAATATTCCGTTCTTTTGTTCTCACTTCCAAAATTATCAGCTCTCTTTTCCCATGATACTCCACTCGCCAATTTTTTGCTCACTTACATAACCTATCAGCATCTCCCTGAAACTGTTTGTATTCCTTTTGCAACTTGCCAGGGATAATAACTATCACTAGAGGAAAAAGTGCATAAGGCAACCAGTGGGGATAAAGACCAATGGGTCCCCTTGACCTGGATATTAAAGGAAATAGATAGAAAGATAATGGATGTACTGGTAGTAATCTTCCAGGAATTCTTAGGTTCCAGAAAAGCTCCAGAGCTTTGGGAAACAGCAATGCAACACCTTTACTTTATAAAAGGAAAGGAGGAGTTATTGGGACAATGTCAGAGACTGTTATAAAGGATGTGATAGTAGAGTGATTAGAAATACCTAATGTGATTAAGCAGAGTCAACATGGCTTCTTGAAGGGGAATTCGTGCTGGACAAATTTATTTGTATTCTTTGAGGAAGTAACAAGTGGCGTAGGTAAAGGGGAAGCAGTGGATGTAATATATTTAGATTTTCAGAAGGTGCTTGATAAGTTACGAGACATTTTGTTAATTAATAGAAGACAGAATTGGGATAAGGGGCCAGATTTCAGGATCGCAGCCCATAGCTAGTGGTCTCCCACGGGATCAGTGCTGAGCACGTAATTATTTACAAAAATATTTTATTGACTTGGATGAAGAAAATGAGTGTACTACAGCCATGTTTATGGATAACACCAAAGCAGGTCAGAAGGCAAGTGGTGAGGATGATGCTCAGTGTCTGCAGAGGATTAGGCAGGTTGTATAAGTGGACATAAACTTGGCAAGTTGGGAAAATATGAGGTTATGTACTTTGATAGGAATAGTAAAGAAGCTGTATATTAATTAAATGGAGGAAGACTGCACAGCTGCATAAAGTAATTTGGGAGTCCTCATTTGTGAATCACAAAAAGGTAGCATCCAAGTTCAGCAGATTAAAGGGTGGGCAAATGAAAAGTTGACCTTTATTTCAAAGGAAAAGGAGTATAAAAGGCAGAGAAGTTTTTCTAAAAAAAATTACAAGGCACAAGTCAGACAAAAGGTAGAATACTATGAACTGTTTTGAACCCTTATCTAAGGAAAGATAGACTACCATTGGAGGAAATCCAGACAAGCTTCACAAGGCTGATACCAGGCAGAGAAGGACTATCTTATGAGAAGTTGAGTCGATTGTGCCCATACTCATTAGAATACAGAAGAATGAGAGGTGACTTATTGAAATGTACAAGATTTTTAAAGGATTTAACAAGAAGGTTGCTGACCAATGTATTGGCAACATTGGCAATTGGAATTCTATGTAAGCGAGAGGTTAGCATTTTAGGCAGGAAAAACAATAATCGGGGTACTTTCTAGATAGTCTGAAGCCAAGTCCAGTGGTTGCCCAAAGAGTCTTGGGAGTTCAGTTGCATAATCCTTTTAATTTGCCAAAAACAGTTGCAGAAAGTAATTAAGAAGGGTAATGTAATATTGACCTTTGTATCTAGAGGACTGGATATAATGACACAGAAGCTATACTGCAGCTATACAAAATCCTAGTTAGACCCTACTTTGAGTACTAAGAGTAGATTGGGCACCACACTTTGAGAAGGGTATTGGACTAGGAGGGAATACAGTATAGGTTGACAAGAATGATACCTGGACTTCAGGTGTTAGGTTATGAAGACAGATTTTACAAATTAGCCTGTTTTGTCTAAAATTTAGAAGGTTGAGATGATCTGATCAAAGTCTTCAAAATATAAACAGGAAGAGACAAGGTAGATAAACTATTTCAATTGGTTGGAGATTAGAGAACAAGGGGACATGGTCTAAAAATTAGGGTCATGCCATTCAGGAAAGATGCTAGGAAAGGGTTTGGAATTCTGTGCCACAGATGTACCATTGATGCTAGGTCAGTTGAGATTTTGTTTTGTTAAGATAACGTATTAAGGGAAATCGGCCACAGATCAGCCATGATAGGCCAGGATGGATGAGGAATTTCTTGTGTAGTGAATCTGTGGAATTCTTAACCACCAGAAGGCTATTGAAGATGAATATTCAAGTATATTCAAGGCTGACAGAGAGATTTTTAATCAGTACGTAAACAGAGGGTTATGGGGCAAAGTTAGATCAGTTGGCTGGACAACTGGTTTGCAATGCAGAGTGACACTAACAGCGTGGGTTGAACTCCTGCACTGGTTGAGGTAACCATGAAGGTCTCACTTTTTCAACCTCATTCCACACCTGATCTGTGGTGACCCTTAGGTTAAACTCATCACCAATCGTCTGTTTATAATGAAAGAACAGTCTTGTGGTCCTCTAGGACTGTGGCAATTTTCTGTACTTTTGTATGACTTATGAAGAGTGACTGGATTGGATGGGACTCTGTTCACTGGAGTTCAGAAGAACAAGCAGGATCTCCATAGAAATCTATAAAATTCTAATAGGACTATACAGGCTACATGCAGGAAGGTTGGTCTTGATGACTGGGGAATCCAGAATCAGAGGTAACATTCTAAGGGTACAGTGTAGGCCATTTAGGAAAAATTGAGAATTTTTTGCACAGTAGCATGCCTGTGGAATTCTGTGCCACTGAGTGGTTGAAGCCAAAACATTTGATTTCTTTCAAGAAAGAATTAGGTATAATTCTTAAGACTAAAGGGGCCAAAGAGTGTGGGGAGAAAGCAGGAACAGGGTAATGAATTGGATGAACAGCCATGATTGTATTGACTGGTGAAGCAAGCTCTAAGAGCTGAATGGCCTACTCCTACTCCTCCTGTTATCTAGGTTTTCATCCACCTGGCTCTGATAGCATTATTAATTGACTCCTGCCTCTCAAATTTTGTACTATGGAAAACAACTATACATAGGACTCCAAATTCGATCCAGTTAAGCTTCAATGCATATTAAGCATAACGTCCGCTGCTTTTTAATTCCATTCTTCTATAAACGAACTCTTTCTTTTTTAATGCCCTTATTAAAGTACATCGTCATGAATTCTTGCTACTAAAATATATTACCTCTTCATTGTTTTAGTTACTTTTTCAAAAATGAATTCCTGGATTGAACAAAATCCCTTATTTGTATTACATATTTAGGATATTGCAGCTTCCACTCCTAGTAATTACAGATAGCAAAGAAGTAGAAACCAGCATGTGTTCCGATTGGAATCAAAGCATTCCTTTACAACACTGTTGCAATGTTTGATACCAAAAGTGATTTAGTATTGGCTGCATAACATTCATTCTGATGGCCCCATAAACCTACAGTTTTAATCTACCATTCTTGCATCAGAATTAAGGTATTGCAATATTCCATGGAAGCAACTAACAGTGGTGTAATGCTATAAGAGGCAACTAATGTCAAAAACACAGATTTTGATAGGTCAGAATATGGTGTAGTGATAATGTCACTGGATTAGTAATCTAGAATTAATGTTCTGAGGACATTGATTAGGATCTCACCATGGCAGATGGTGAAGTTAAAGTTCGATAA